ATATCGATCTACCCAAGATTCTATAAGAGTTGTGTGATTTTCATGAACGCATATCATATGGTTCCAATTCTACAAGGTGTTTTAACAAGTGAGTCTGATTGTTGTAACAATGTTTTTCTCGAAATCTGTACGTATAAATTATTTCAACTTGATATAGGCGCTGTTGCCAATATGTGAATTAGAAATAAATCCCTTCAAAAATTAAAACCCAACATTTGAAACTTCAATTTGAATACTTTTCGAAGTGAATTTGAAAAACTTATGAATTGAACTCAACTTTATTTTGTTCAAACTTGCATTTGCTGTAATAACCCAAGTTGAGGAACATTCCCTATTCCTAATGATATAAGAAACATGGTGAATCTGCCATTATTTTCATTATATTATTATTATTATTATAAAAATAATATGTGGTCTTTCAGAGCTTCGCACATCCAAGGCACGACGAATGGAATAAATTTTTATACACCACCCAAGAGTTAAGGAATAATCAAGTAGACGATGAATTAGAAAAACTAAATTACTCCAATTCAAGTTCATCTTCAATGAGTATGACTGCTTTAACCTCAACACCCCTGCGATAAATAGTTTAATTTTAATTATTAAGTAGCATATTTATGAGATAATTTATTACCTAACCACTGCAAGAGTAATGAAAGCGTGTCATAATGTTTAACTGTGAAAATGGTCAAAGGTACATTCTTTCGGGGCAATCAGATACTGAGCAGCTGTGCTGAACACTTAAGAATATTGTGTTGCTGAGGCTTTCATTATTTTTTCGTACATATGATCAAGACTCGGTTGAAAGAACTGTCAATTCTCTCGCTTTTCACCAGCGGGATGAGATTAAAGGATTTTCGCTATTAGTTGTATCAATATTTTCGTCCATTTGGTAAGATGGGTTTCGTGGCGGAAAATTTACTGAAATATCTGTCGAACAACTTTTTTAAATACTGCAGAAAATATATTGTTTTTTCGGATTTGTTTTAATAATACATAAATGAATATTTTAACACTAAGTTCAATGTGAAATATCACTTTCTTATGTTTGTAATAGTCTCGAAAAGGCACATTGAATAGATATTTGTTTTAGTCGGTTTACAAATTTAATTTCTGCTTCCGGCAACTAAACATGAAAACTTCAAACTCGATTTTATAACACTTGGTACTGTTGTTAGGTTTACTGTTACTTAAATTTTCTACATGATTTGTTTGTTGCGCTTGTAAATAGCTATTTATTTTTTTGTGGTAACAAAATATTTAGTATTTTTTTATACTTGATTGTTATGTCTGTATTATAATGCTCTTAAAGTTAGGTGGCATCCAAAATAAATGTTTTAAAAAATTACTCAACCATCGGTTTGATTGACTTTGAATTTCTATTCTTTCTAAAGTATAAACTCTCAATTTGTCTAACTTTGCAGAAAATATTCAATGAGAGGTTCGTTTATAACATTTTAGAATTGATGCTTCAAATATTAAAATTTGTATNCCGGCCTCAAACCGGCGTGAATGGGGACAGGAATTATATACATCCACTATAACACTCCCACGTGGACATCCGGTCCACCCCGGCCGCCAACCTGCGTGAATGGGAGTGCTGTTTCTCTATAACACTTATAGACTGTTCACAAAAAACTTTTAATTTAATGATGGCACGTTCTATGATGGCAGACATTTACAACACAAGACATTTTCGTCCCCAACAATGGCGTCCACGTGCCTTCTTTGTGGACGGTCGCTGTCGGCACGTCCGTCCACCACCACATCAGAAATGAAACTGAATTTGTTAGTTTTTGAGGTATTAATTTTTTCTGAAAAATTTGGCAGTTACAGCACCACTCTGAAAAAATCATAACTCATGAACAGTAACAGTTGAAAATGTGAAATTTCACAGAATCATACCTTGAACATCAAGTCAGGAACAGGTCCATCGAATTTTCAAAAACAAATGGTCCAAATTTCCAAAACATAACATTGAGAAAACTGATGAAACACGATTTTTTCGAATGGAAACCATACACTATTCTATTAGTTTTGGATACTACAAAAAAAAGATATCAAATTGAAGAATGTCCTATACCTAAAATACACCCCTGGCAGGGTATATCCGATTTTGTGAAATATTTGAAATTCAAATAATTCAAAGCAATACCAAACCAAGAAAGCTTTGAAAACAAATGAACTAATATTAACTCGTGTCATTGTTACGATGATTAGGACATGGACCAATAAGAAGCACACAGAGTTCTAGACAAAAGTACCTGGCAACAAACACAGTAGAACCTTCATTAGGGAACCGTCCGAGAACTGAAAAACTACTTCACTAAAGTAGGGATCGGCTCAGAATAATTACAGGGTTACTAACCGGTTATTGTCCGCTTAGAGGACACCTGAATAAAATGGGGCTGTACAACGGAGCTGCAGCTGCAGATTATGCAACGAAGGGATAGAAACTGCTCTACACATCTTATGCGAATGTGAGGCACTGAATCACAGGAGGCAGACAATATATGGACGTACAAAACTACGTCCAGAAGAATATGACGAACATCCAACACGGAACCTGTACAAACTAGTACAGGGAACGAGACTGATGGAATGGGTGTCATGAGAAGATGGGAAAACAAACGCAATCAACCCAAGAGGCTGCAGTGTTTTCTGGAGACTTGGATTAAATGGACAAGTCAGATAGCTTCCAAAGGACCAAAAAAAAATGTCGTTGGTAAAAGGTAACTCAACATGAAAATGGATGGATCAACTCATTATTCTGAAGCCAGAATTAGACAAGTCTTGTCAACGGATCTTGACGATATAATATTGTTAATAAAAAAAGTACCACACGATATGATTATATACATTTATTTCAGAGTTATATAGTAAAATACAATACTTCTATGATTCGAAACGAACAAAGATTACTTAATACAAACGCTGCATGAATGAGAAGATGACATACTCACTGGTGTCACCATATTTTGAAATATCCCCTGAAAAAAAGTAACGCCAGCCGCCGCTGGTCTTCCTCGATCGTTCTAGGTATCGCGTCGCTTCGAGAATGTTTTTGTCAGCTTTCGACGACTTCCATCGGGTTATATAGGAACTACCAATAGGCAGGGGAGACTAGTCTAGTTGAAAGTTCTGTACGAAGTGAGCCAATGAGGCTATTGACATTTGAGTATTAGTATGAAGCTCAGTTGAAATTTTTGTGTTGACAGTTTCAATAGTGAAATATATTTGAGTTGAATTGTACAGTGTGGTCAATGATTGTCCAACCCACAGGAGGAACGTAACAATACAATTAATTTTGCCTTTCTTCTCTTCCTAGATTCAGAATTATTATTCTTGAAATTTCTACTAGCATATTCTGGTGGTCAGGGTAAGTATTAACCTTAGTGTAGATGTTTTAGCTTTTGCAAGATTTTTTAATGCAGGATTACAACAACTTGAATAAATTACATGTGCATATTCGAGAAGTGGACAACAGATCATTTTATATATTTCAGTTGCAGTTTTAATGTTGATTCCTCTTTGATTTTGTGGTCAACAAATAATATTTGGAGGATTTTTAATCATTTGAAGTCGAAACCTTCAATAGAATGTGAAATTCTAAACATTTTCACCTGGTCCATGTTTATTTACATATAGTTATAAAAACCCTCCCAGAAGTCGAGGCGATAATAAGCTGAATGTAAGTTGCCGCAGGAGTAAGGGACTTTTCATTGATAATTTGGCGCACCCTCAAATGAATCAAAATATGACTCACGGTCACGGTAACATAAATAATAAAATAAACAACCCACATATTTGCTTCTCGACAATGTTAACCACATCAAAATTACATAGTAAAGTAAAAAGTCCTATCCCAAGTAATATATAAAATTTCATTAAGAGATCGTGATTTATTCTATATTGGCCAAACATTTAGAAATGTAAATAACTGAATCATACCACATAAAAGTGATGTCAGGAAAAACTTGAAATTTTATGCCGTTTCAGAAAATGCCAATCTTAAAAATTGCAGTATGAATTGTAATAACGCTGAAAATCTATGTACTGAAATTATTAGTTCAAAAATAAACTTTTGAAAAATGGTTTAAATATATAATGGGGAAATATTGATGCAAGAACTGAACTGAATAATCTCAGTCAGATATACATGTATATTCTGAAATATCAATTAGAAAAAGACAATTCTGAATCACTCTCTAATTATTGAGATCCATTTTCTCGTTCATGAGTTGCCAAGTTTATACTTCTGCTTAAATAGGAAATAGATAATAGGAAATCATCTAGTACCTATGCAGAATTATTCCATATGACACTGTCAAAATTTGACTCGTTTTGAAAGAAAAATTTTTTTTTCTGTTCATTTTGTCCAGAGAGAGTGGTTTTTCGGAGATTCTGGACAATCGAAGGAGTTTTAATAATTAAATTGGAAGGGTTATATTTTTACGAGTGATTAATTTTTGGGAAAGATTTTTGGCTTTCTACCACTCCACTTTGATACAAAAAAATGTTCAGTAAACCATGTGTCTAATATTTGTTCCTGAAAAGGATAGCTAAAACATAAAGTTGAAAACTGTATATAACATAACATTCATTTACTCAACCTGAGTGAATTCAATTCTTTCAAAATTAAAGCTATATTAAATCTCAGCCTATGAAACTCCTTAGCTTCTATTTTGATTTTCAAATTTTTTCCATTCTTCATGGTAAGAGACACCAACAGATTCATTGGCACCTTTTTGACCAAAGTACTGGAACAAAAAAAAAAACAACAATAAGGTAATGCTTTCAACTTCAAGGTTTTATATGCTCGCCACCAATGAGTTGAATCTGCTCATGCCATCAATGCCAGTACATAATGATGAAGCAGTCTCAAGTTGAATGTTGCAAGTAGTAAACAGTACGAATATACCTACACAGTAGGTTGAATGGACTGGCGCCTATCAGAAAACAACTACTTCCCTGGCTAATACTACGAAGGGCGTTGGATTATATCCGACAGGCGTCAGTGCAGGAATCTTCACAGAAAATCTCCTGCATATGCAATTGGCAATACAACTGAAAGAGTCGACCTTCAATTTTGGAATAGGCTAATGAGCTAATGAGCCCGAAGCCGGTCTGCAAGTGTGCCCATATGTGGATAATACACGGAACAAAAAAAAACAACAATAAGGTAATGCTTTCAACTTCAAGGTTTTATATGCTCGCCACCAATGAGTTGAATCTGCTCATGCCATCAGTGATAGTACATAATGATGAACCAGTCTCAAGTTGAATGTTGCAAGTAGTAAACAGTGCAATCATTAGTTATTATTCAAAACATTCATGTTCAAAAATAGATATGGAATATCTTATTCATAATATCTAGATGCACGAGTCGTAAGTTTTCAGTAGTAACATACTGCAAATTCATACAACTTATAACTCAAAACTGGTGCACGATTCCACCTCAAAACATATAATTATTCATAACTATTGTGAATGTTTGAATAGGACGTACCTATTACTCAAACTGATATCAATTCTCCACTTGAAAAGGGACATCTTTCCAAAATCTGTATGGTTATCCATTAAATTATCAATAATTCCATTTGGGTTTTTGAAGAAGGGTAACTTTTGTAAAAAATCAGTTGTGAAACCAAATTCCAAAAGTTTTTGATTGAAATCACTTTCATTAATTTCTAAAAACAACTTTATGAGAGCAATGTATACTCCAAGAATATTATATATTTGTTCTTTTGGCATATCGGTTTCTTTAGAAAAGTTCTTGATAAGTTCGGAATGATCTTGATCAGTTGGCTTATGGGCTAGAAGGGCCACTGAAAATAACACTATTTAAAAAGAGGTTTAATGTAAACAGAAAATGTTACTTTTGAACAGTTGACTTTGGTATTCCTTTGGAGAATTCAGTACCAAACTCACAAAATGTTTTGGCAATTCTTTTAAACTCATGTTAATTGTTTGAACTGGACTAGGGATTCCGAATTCTGACACAAAATAATAGAATTTTTCCTTTGATTCAATACGTGCTTTCTGATTTCTAACCTCGCGTAATCCATAGACACATAATATGGACTAGCCAGGATGTAACTTCAACATATATTTTACCTGCAGATCACATCGTCTTGGCTACTGCGTCACAGCACCATGTGACAAAAATGTTCACAAAGAATTATGCAACACATAAAACATATCTGACGTCAAATGTGTGATGTAATGCCAAAACGTGAATCTCGTTATTTTTTTTAGTTATCGGAGTCAATGTTGTCTCTTCAATGGCCAGTCCATATTATAACGTCACTGCATCTGAAGGTTTATAGGTTAAGTGACAAAGTGAACAAGTACGTACTTAAAAAATGAAATTCAATATCTATCTATTTGTGTTTATTTCATTCACTTATCTCGTAAGCGTGCAATGTCTCAATAAGTATAGCAAAGAGGCAAATAAAGTCGATGATAAATCTCAGGATGATTCTCAATTTGATATGCGACCCGTATCGCTGAAACACCTAGATAGACCTTTTCGAATGGCCAAACTCAACTTGTTATGGTCTAAAGCTGTACTAGTAAGTAAATCTGATTCGTCTAAAATCAATGACAGTTTAACACTAGGGAGATTCATGCACCAGTCTCAAGAATTTGAATTTAAAGAAGTATAGTTTTGAGGAGAGATTAGTTTTTCAGAAATAAAGTTTTTGGCTTATTATTTCCCCATCTTTTTATAAAAAAGTAGAAACTTCTGATAGAAGAAAGAAAGCAATTACGCTTAAAATGAACTTTTTACAAAGGTGTGCAGATATAGAAGTTACTTCCATCAAAACATTATCTTGTGTGAATAGTGAATATAGAGAAGTAGAAAGCCAAAGTTTTTTTTCTCAAGAATTTGTTTTCCATTTACTACTGAAAATTCACGAATCTTACACATATATATGAAACTATTCTGCGATTTTCATGAAATTTTCTGTCTATATTTGCTTTATGCCTCCCACCGACAAATTAAACATGCTAAACAGATGAAACTCTGAACATATGTCCAACATAAAAAAATAGAATGTAGGAAGCCTGCAAAATTTGAACATTCACCTTATTTTTGGAATTGTTCACGTACAATGTTTTAGAAAAATCTGTGTAGTTTCAGTACTACATTAATACATCAGAATAAAAAGTATTGAAGTGAAGATTTTACGAAATTTTGAAGTCACATGGACTGATTAGTTTTGAAATGAAACTGAAGGATTTTTTAATTTTAAGAGCCGTCTTTACAAATTTCAGAGACTATCAGAAGTTAAACTGAAATCCTTGTTTGGAGAACTGAAACTTCATGATAAAGAAGAAATAACTTGGAAACACCTGAGGGCAGAGGGTAAAGATAAAGATGGATTGAAGGAAGCTGAGTTGCGCACAAAATTGATTGCTATAATGAAAAATTATAACTTACTAGATCAAGCTGATGATGTTTCAGATCCAGAAAAAGTAAAACCTTTCAAGCCACTGAATGAGGCTACTGATAAACATATCAATAAGAGTTTGTTCAAAGATAAAAAATTGAACAAACTTTGGGAGAAAGCAGAGAGAGCTGGTTTCACTCAAGAAGAACTATTAGCATTGCAGGAGGAGTTTGGACATCATCAAGACAAAATCGATCAGTACTATTCATTGTTACATGACGTGAAGGGCAGTCCAGAAGAATATGAAGAAAGTAAGGCCGTAATCAAAATAATTAAGGTTGCTGTATTGATATGTTTTTCAATATTGTGAAAAATGTTGGTTCAAACAATATTTTTTTATTAACAGAAGACTATATGCAGAGTACAAAGTATACTTATTTTTCGAGTCAGGTGTATTGACTACAATACCGATATAAAGAAGAAACTTGTATTTCAACTGATAGCCAACTCAACATAATCATTGTTTTTTTTTTGGTATTCATCCAATGACTTTTTCATAGGATAGAAAGAAGGGTCATATTGTATACCAGTGAAATGTTCCAATTCTCTTGATGATGATTGTTCATCTGTCTGTATTGATTATATAGAACTTTTCCTTGTTGCATATTTTGTTCACTCAACTAATAATCGGTGAATTGGCGCAATGGTAGTGCGCATGATAAAAGGTTGTTAGTGGGATCCCCACCTAAACCAGATACTTTTCTCGAGAGAAATTCCAAAACAATAGGCACTAAATTCTCAGAAATAATTTGTTTATACGAGTCCTGTACGCTTATCTTGTTCGAATTATTTTAATTTGTATGTTACTTATGTTGACCACATTCTTGACGTGTGTACATCTTAATGATTGGAAGTATAAATAAATATCTATCTACTTGTCTATATATCATGGAAATTATCGTTTTTTGATTTCTGCATTGTTTTCAACCTTGTTAACTCTCAATTTAACTTTTAATGGCTTTTTGCAGATGCTGTGGAAGATTCACTCGATAAATATAACAAAATAGATACTGAAGAAGAACCAAAAAAAGACTATTTGGAGAGAGTCAATACGCTTCGTGAGAAACATAACGAAATTAAAGACGGATTTGATCGTCTTCATTTGCTAGCTGCCAAAGGACCTGCTAGCAAGGAATTCGTAGAGCCCAAGGTGCAAGGCTTGTGGAAAATGGCTATTGAGAGTAACTTTACCCCTAGCGAGTTACATTCTCTAAAAACAGAGTTGTTACACTATGAAAATCGTTTATTGAAATTGAGGCATATGCAAGTCGAACATGCTTTACATGAAGAAAAATACAAAGACAAAGCAGAAATGAATATTGCCGGTGGAAAAACTAGCACAGCCTCTCTAATGGAAGAAAACATAAAAAAACATGCTAGAAAAGTTGATAAAATACATTTAGAGTTGGAAACAAGGATAATGCAGAAGCACATTGAGCTATAATTGATGAATGTTTTCAAACATTTTTTGGTGCCAAATTCCTTACTTGCATTTAATAATTTTTACATGAAAAGTTTATATGTATAGGTACTGATTTTTTTATATATATTTTTCATTTTTAATCCAAATGTAGTCTAGTATCAGTTGTAAATTAATAGATTTTGTTCTCAAGAGTCTAGTCTAGCATCATATATTGAAGTTAAATAAGGTTGTACATGATATTAATTGGTAATTATATATATAGAATCATATAAAATAGGTGATATGTCCAGATCTGAAACATCCATATTTTTAGAAAAATATAAGGATAACTTTTTGTTTTATTCCATAATACTTCTGTTTCTGATAATTTCACACTATTGTGGAGATATATCCTCCATGTATATGAGAGTACTTCAACCTGTAACATCTCTGTAAATACTAATTCAATTTATTCAAAATAAGCAATATATAAAACAGTGCATTTTTGCCAAAGTAATACAAGTTGATTTTAATTCCGTTAGCATTAAAAGTGTGCTCGGTATTCGACGAAATTGATAAAGGCCGTTTTTTTTGTCTGGTCCTGATTGGCGAGAGGTCTGGGGAGTATGGTGAGTGAAGCAGAACTTGGCGCTCAATCCGGTGACTTGTGAAACGGGCTTTGTCATGAAGCAGGATCGGATCTCTTCTGTTGACCAATGCCGTAATTGTCGGTAAATTTCGTCGATTTTTTCACAATAAGACTTTGCTTTGATGGTTTAGCCCGGCTGCAGAAACTTATAGTAAATCACACCACCATACAGTAACCGTGGTCTTTTTTTATGGTGGGTTTTTGTCTCTGGGAAGTGCCTGGGTTACTCATCTTTAATAATTGTCCCTACATCACGATTATTTTGTAAAAATAGGCATTGCAATAAGTAAATAATTAAAAAATTGAAGATCATAATTATTCATCAATATTGAACTCAAAACCAACTGCTTTCATTGCAAAAAAGGGATTTCACACAGATTAAAATTTTATTTTCAAATTAATAAAGGGTTTTGTTTGCCTTGAACTTATACACTTTAAATGTTTTCATTAAGTGGCTGAGAAATAAAAATCTCATTTCTATATTTGAACATCAGTATGTTCTACAAAGTATATAAAACACACTCTTGTTGAAAGGTGCTTTTTGTATTTACAAATTCAAAATTTAGGAGATATATTAGGAATTTTGTTTGAAAGCTTTCTAAATATCAATGTTTTGTTGTGTGAAATGTAAAGAGTACAATATACATCTTTCATTGTAATGGAGTTTTACATGTGAATTAATAAATAAATAATACAAACTGCAAAATGTGGTTTCAAAATTGAAACTTTAGGAATTATGCACAATTCATCAATCAAAATATTGGTTTTGATTTTGTTTCTTCCAGTAAGTTAAATAATTCTAGAGAATTCAATTGCTGTGAAAGTTGCTTCCAACTTTTTCGCAGTTTTTCTGCATTGTAGGAAATAATCATGAAAATATTTACACAAAATATATTAATAATTCAAAAACCTTTACATTGCAAAAATTAGAAATTTTCTTGTAACACTAATAATAGTTAACACCCAATAATAGATATTTGATATAACATAATGATATTTACGTGAGTGGTGGTATCTTTGTATTTACATCCTTATTTTCTATGAAGTTTTTTTCTTTTTTGCTTACTTTCAGGTAATTCTTAAGAAATCATCTGAAATTCTCATTGTTCTAAGCTCAGTCCTCGTAAAACCAAATCCTGGTACAATTAAAAATAAACGAATATTTCATTAAAAAAATTCAGACTGGCAAGTAATTGAAAATCATTAAATATCTACTAATATCAACAATTAGTCTTTGATTTCATTCATTCCGAATATCATTTGTTTCTTCTGTGTATATGGTCTTCAGATCCTCAATTATTCGGAATGTTGTCCCTTTCAAATTTTTCGCTACTTCAGACTGTATATCTGAAAAGAGTACAGATTTTCCTTCACTGAAGCTTCCTATCACAGACTGATACATCTCGTTCATATGCATCTTAATCATATCATTTAAAATACTGATTTTTTCGTTGTTCCTTTTTTCTCTCTCTCGTTTTTCAGACTCCGTTCTCTCAAAATATCCTTCGAAATCTGCAAGTTTCAACCTCAAATTTGTCACAGTATCATTTAGAGTATCTATGGTGGCTTGAAGATCTTTGCTGTCTTTATTCTGTTCTTTCAATTTCAGTTTCTGTATTTCTATCGTTGTTTGACAATCCTTGATATCGTTTTTACTCTGCTGCAATTCAAATTTCAATTTTTCAAAATCATCTAGTCTTTCCTCAGCAACGGTTAGATTCGATTTCATTGTGACTGCTTCCCTTTCAAGTTTATCGATTAAAGAACTTTTTGTTTTATTCTATAATACTTCTGTTTCTAATAATTTCACACTATTGTGGAGATATATCCTCCATGTATATGAGAGTACTTCAACCTGTAATATCTCTGTAAATACTAATTCAATTTATTCAAAATAAGCAATATATAAATCAGTGCATTTTTGCCAAAGTAATACAAGTCGATTTTAATTCCGTTAGCATAAAAAGTGCTCGGGATTCGACGAAATCGATAAAGGCAGTTTTTTGTCTGGTCCCGATTGGCGAGAGGTCTGGGTAGTATGGTGAGTGAAGCAGAACTTGGCGCTCAATCCGGTGACTTGTGAAACGGGCTTTGTCGTGAAGCAGGATCGGATCTCTTCTGTTGACCAGTACCGGCTGCTGTTGACGTAATTGTCGGTAAATTTCGTCGATTTTTTCACAATAAGACTGCTTTGATGGTTTAGCCCGGCTGCAGAAACTTATAGTAAATCACACCACCATACAGTAACCGTGGTCTTTCTTCATGGTGGGTTTTTGTCTCTGGGAAGTGCCTGGGTTACTCATCTTTGTCCAACCACTGTCCTAAACGTCTCCTGTTGTAGAGTATCCGCTTTTCGTCACACGTAAAGATCCGATCTAAGGGTAGTTTTGGTTGAGCAAGAGCAAAGTAGCTGACCTAGAAACGTGACAATCTGTCGATTATTCAAATCGTGGGGCACCCACTTTTTGACCTTTCCAATACGTTTTGAACTATCAAAAACTGCATGGGAGCTGACGCCCAGTTTTTCGGCCATCCCACGTACCGTTTGTGATGGGTCAGTCTCTACCAGGTTCCGCAAATCCTCGTTCTGGATTATTGTAAGTCGAGCACTCCGGGGCTCATCTCCGTGGCTAAAATCTCGAGAAATAAAATTTCTCAAGCAAAATTCGAACAGACATTGCCAAATGCCTGGTTAACGTTTCAATTAGAAATCATAGAGAAAAATTGACCGAAAATCGCTTAATGTCATCATACAGTAAGTATAAATAGTCCAAATAAAATTCAGCAATCAGAACTGGAAACAACAAATACAATCAGACATTTTGAAATTACTCTTGACCTAATAATGTTAGGTTTTACTCTCAGATTTGTAGAGGAATTATCTTTCTCTTCCTTAGAAATCATATATTGTTCATTTCTTGGATCAATAACCAAACACAACTCCACAATTTGGTGCCCCTCAAATAAGGTGGATATTCATAGGCTTGAATGTGTTCAAAACAAGTTTTTAAGAAACTCTATATACAAACTGGGATATATATTGATATGAATATAATCATAAAATTATATCGGACATTCTTAACTTGAATACTCTGGCTCATATAAGAAGAATCAGACCTCACACTAATTCACAAAATAATTAATGGTAGCATTAATTCCTCGAAACATATACTAAAATCTTTCAGCTTCAGCAGGTCAAGATGGGTCTCAGTCTGCCAGTGTTCTGTTAGCAAAAGAATGTCACATTTTTGTTCATTAGNATCGTTTTTACTCTGCTGCAATTCAAATTTCAATTTTTCAAAATCATCTAGTCTTTCCTCAGCAACGGTTAGATTCGATTTCATTGTGACTGCTTCCCTTTCAAGTTTATCGATTAAAGAATTTTTTTCGCTCAGTTCTCTGTGATCATGTCCAGATAATTCATTATATTTTCTTTCCAGGGTATGATATTTATCTCTCCAACTGCCCAAAGCATCTTGTAAATTTGCTGTCTTCAATTCCAAGGCTTTAATTTTGGATTTGAGCACTGTATCATCATTTTTTTGATTTGGTATGTTATTAGTTAGAACACTATCCAATTTTGCTGATAATTGGGCTACACTCATTTTCAGTTCAGCATTTTGGGATATAATGAATCCTTCATAGTTCATAGGTGGTGCATACATCATGGGGCTTAGTACACTCTGATTGAAATTAGGATAGCTATTTACAGAAGTAGTTGAACTAGAAACCATTTGCTTGTCTATAAAATTTGTTGATTCATTTTCAGCTCTTGAGGGTTTTTCAATGTGCTTTTTGAATTTTCTAGGGGATGGTTTCCTATCAAACCTACTTTCCCCCAGTTCAGAGTCAGAATTATCAGAACTATTCATCTTCGGAAGAATCTGTTGACCCATTTTAGCCATTCTGCTTAGTATATGTGCTCTTTGTTGAGATCCAGAGCTATCCGTCTGAGTTTCTGAGATTTCAACATCAGCCTTAGGCTTGGGAAGTAGTGCAGGTTTAGGAAATGCTGAGTCACTACATTTTTGAGATGGGTCTTCATTAGCTATTAGTTGTGCACCAAATTTCTTTAAGACTTCGTAAAATGCTTTCTGGTCGTCATTCTGAAATTTAATCAGCCAATTTCTTGAATCATCATCATAAAATGAAGAAAATTCATCTTTTTGATGGTAAAAAAGTAACTTATCATTTACTTTTGTCCTCAGAATGATATTATTTTTTTCTTTATAAGCTATAATTTCAAATAGATTCAAATTCACTGATCCTATAACAGCTAAACCATGTTTTCCTAATGCCTTATATTCTTTATCTTCTCTGAAATAAAAAGTTACACATATTAACTGAATTAGGTTTTAACTTTATCTTTCACAACTTGAAGTAAAATATAAAATAAATATTTACATTGACTCCTGATTTTCATTGGGTTATCGCAAATATGATGAAAATTATTTAAACAATTTCTCCATCATAAACTGAACAGGAACATATCCACAAATATATTTATGAACACTGACGTTTTTTTATACTTACAATTTCCAAATAGAAACTACTTTTGCAAGCATAACAGTACTTTGTGATTTACTTTTTGAACAGGAAGAATCATTTTCAGTATCAAGTTTTGCGTAATTTGGCTGTTTAGGAGCTGTATACATCAAACTACTGTTAGAGTCTTCGCTCTCTTGTCCATAATTTCCAAATAAAGCAGCTAATTTGGAACTGAAATGTATTGTTTTTATAATGGAAATTAGTGAAATGAATAAATATATTTCCAATTGTTTCAAAATTCACCTATCTGCTGATGCGAAGTCATATTCATCAGAATTATCAAACATTTCCAGTTTATATTTTCATATAATATCCGAAAAATTGGATAAAAAATTAAACATGAAAACAATCATAACATAACCCTAGATATTGATATCCATAGACAATATGGAATATAGACTGGCGGCTACGTCACTTTACATACTTTCCACTGTGCCTCACACAAAGTTTTGGAAATAACATCACTGCACAAAATGCACGTGATTACGTCATCAATACCATGGTTTGCATACTTGGTAGTCGTTAATATGTGCCTAATATGTATAATTTTCTTCCTCAGAGTAACAAAATTATTACTCTGAGTTTTTTCTTTTGACAATTTATTCAGGACTGCTATGACAGATTTGAGATGTTTATACACTAAAAGTATGCAACACGTGAAACATCGTGATGCTGAATTTGACATTCAAGTGTATGAGTGACGTAATGCCAAAACGTGGATTTCTTTATCTTTTTCAGTTGTTGAAGTCAGTGTTCTCTCTTCAATGGTTAGTCCCTATTATGAAGTCCATGTCAATGGCATAGTTCTTCTTCTTTTTCCATTAATGGCTCCAGCTGCCAGGGCTATCCATCCAGGAGTTCCAGGATCATGTTGCTACTACAGGCCACACTAAAGTGGTTCTGAGTTGGACCCAAACCCCACCTGGTTTTGCGCTAAAACAAAGTTCGACTGTAGTTTGAGGTCAGTTAACAAGCAATGTCCACTTGCACTAGAGTGTAAGCACTAATGTGAGGTGATGCACTACGGTTACGTGTATGGACATTACGATCGTCATGATTGGCGAAGCACTACATGCGTACACGTTTAGGTCTGTCTTGATCACTACAGCTTTATATTGGATGCAATCAGGAATTTGGATATGGTTTGTATGTTAGATGGTGATATATGTTTGAAAAATATATCGTGGAAGGTAAGAGGCTGAATGGTTGAAGGAGGGATGCTAAGAGAGACATGAAGTATTATTAGGGCAGGCAAAGAATATATGTACGAGAGTCTGTATTTCCCCACATTCGCAGCGGTCGTCATCAACTATCTTAATTTTGTGGAGTTCTTTTCTTTCTGTACTTTGAACAGTTAGAGAACTGTTCTGAATTGACACAGAATCATTTCACAGAACCCTATTAAATCCATGTTTCATGCTCAGGTGCCTCAAATAACAACATTAGTAGTTTGTAAGAACCCGTTTATTGGTATCTGTCAGTTTTCTATGTTATATTTATTGTAAGGTGGATAAATAAAAGAGAGTGTTTTAAAAATTCAATAAAAGTTCATGAATATATTCAGTATTTAAGATGTTCCAACCTTCAGAATATATAATACTTTATATTTCAACACATATCACCAAAAAGTTAAGCACTTTAATGATTAGGTTTACCTCCAACTTGTAACCACATATTCAGCGTAATATCGGCTGCTCAGAAATAATATCGAAGGTGACTTCATTTTCCTTTAGTAGAGTGATGAGAGAAGTGTTCTCAAATGCTGCTCCAGGAGGAAATACTCCGCCTCTGTAACAATAAAAATCTGTCTATTTTTTCAATAACACGTGTATTTCCAATCGGTAAATAAATATTTTTCACTTAGCAAGAATGTATTATAATATTCAACTGTACTACTGAGAAAAAAGAAACTCATCATTTTGTTAGATGGAACAAAACATTTTTCATCTGATTCCATTTGCCTGTACCCAAAAAGCTGAAAACCCTGGTTAAGATCCCCTGAATGTTCTTCCACACGCAGTCATCTGCTACAATAATGTAAAAAGTCATAAACAGGTTTTATACCGTATGAACTGATATTTGGACATACAGCTAGTCGTTCCTCAGACGGGTACCCACAGTCTGAACACAACGTCGCCCCGGACAAAGCGGTAAGTATAAACATTTTTCTAAATCATAACTAACAGTTCCTTTTCAGGTTCAATGAGAAGCACTCGACCGCGATCTCTTTTTTAAAACAATAGTCTACGGTTAGTTTTTGGGCAGCCCATGCAAAAATTCAGTTAGGAAAGCCAAGATAAAACAATACAATAGATCAGAAAGTAAAAGCACCTAGAGGCTGACCTTCGACAAAAGAAGGTCAGATGTCAATCTGTCAGATGTCAATCTGACCTTCAATGTTCTGCACACATTAACCGTGAGGAGAAGATTTCAACTCAGGGCACTCAACCCGGGAGGGGGCACCAACTTTTCTTTGATAAGGGGAGTGGTTCTTTCGTGAATAGATGATTTTACCGGTATCCGAGTACCAGAGATTACGAATTTTTAAATTTTGAATCAGTATAACCTCATACTTTTGTTGTTTCTCAACGTGTCCTGCTGAACCGTTGCACATATACTATAGGGATAGGGTCTTCCAACAAAACCCTGGTTAAGATCCCCTGAATGTTCTTCCACACGCAGTCATCTGCTACAATAATGTAAAAAGTCATAAACAGGTTTTATACCGTATGAACTAATATTTGGACATACAGCTAGTCGTTCCTTAGACTGGTACCCACAGTTTGAACACAACGTCGCCCCGGACAAAGCGATAAATCAGCTGTAGCCGAACAAGCTCTCAACAAATGAGTCACTCACATTATGTCATTCGAAGATAAATTTTGAATCAGTATAACCTCATACTTTTGTTGTTTCTCAACGTGTCCTGCTGAACCGTTGCACATATACTATAGGGATAGGGTCTTCCAACGGAGACTTCCGAACTTTGACCGTTGATAACTGCCAACGTCTGTCAAATTAGTTGTCAATACTCAGTCTGTTTTGCCAAATCACCATGGACGGATATAGCATTCAACAACAACTGCAAATAATGAAATTGTTCTATCAAAATGGGTGTTCTGTTCGGACAACGTACCGCGACAACGTACCCATTTTCGGTCGCCATTATTGGTCCTACCGAAAGGACTATTCGCAACGCGAATAGTTGAGTTGAGTCCACTGATTCAATAAACGCCTATACGTCTAGGAAATGCAAAATCTGCCGGAAACGTCGCCGCTGTCTGTGAGAGTGTGCAGGAGAATTCGAGACAGTCGATTTCGCGTCGCTCACAAGAACTCGACCTTTCGCAGACTATAACTTAGCGAATTTTGCGTCGTGACTTGGGCCTGCAACCGTACAAAATTCAACTGACCTAGGAACTGAAGGTAAACAACCATAGACAACGACGTGTGTTTGATGAATGAGCCCTAATTTACATCGAGTGTTCTATTTAAAAAGATGGGAAGCGCCTAATGAAAAATCCTGTATAAATGAACCCTGCGAGGTCAAAAAATCATTCATTAATATTTCATCTATTGTTCATTATTCCAGTTTAATATATTGTCATTTCGTGTTTATATTCAGTACCTATTTCATTTCTGTAAAAACCAGTAGGTTTTTGTGCGAGTTTCGAGTGGAATTAGAGACACTAAAATTACGTATAATCTTTAAATAATGTCCGGTTCGCAGTTTTTCATTTTAGTGTCGGTACTATATGTCTTTGAACTGGAAAACAGATATACCTAGAGACCGTTTCTTTTATCATGTGATAACAATGCTATACTCTAAACCGAAACAAATATGCGAAGACGATTAAATGGAAAAAAGGTAACTATCGTGGGGAACAGTAAAATTGTCAAAGAAAATACGGAGTTATATAACGAATAGAATTGTTATTTCTGAAAATATAAAAAATGGAAATGCACTATAACGATGTAACAATAAATCTTCGACCAAACGTTTCGTGTCAACACGGCCACCATAAGTAAGCCGGGCAGGTATTGAAGAATAAACGCTGAGTAAACACTACTAATAATGCTCATAATAATCAAACAACCCTACTACTTACTCCTCCGGCATTTTGTCACTTTCTGTGAGTACTACAATGGCAGCACAAACCAAACATATGCAGGTAGACCCATAAGTAGGATTTCTTCCTTTGACTCTTCCCAAGATACTCTTATTATACGGTATGGTGTAGTTATTGAGGCCTTTTTCGGAAGGTCCACTCCATCCTTTTCCATGCAGTGTTACTTGAAACCATGAATTTTCAATCTTTTCTTCTGATGGTTGTTTCTTGCTGACCATTCCAAAACTGAATACTTCAGGATACTGAAATATGGATATTGAATATACAGAGCTGTTCAAATTCGTGTCTATGCATGGGGATCTCGTGAACGGTAAACTATATGTAGGGTGCTACAAAAGCTTACCTGAATGCAAATGTGAACACACAAAAGTTACAGCCCTTGGAAATTACAAAATGAAAATCATTTTTTTTCCAATATTTCGTGAACTTTTCAAAATTTTCTGATGGAAATGGATCTATGGCTTTTTTATCGCAAGAACATTTTTTTGATGTAAAACCACGAAATCTATTTAGTCCATAAAACTTTTACGGGGGTTTTTAACCCCTAACACCCCCCAAACTGTTCTATGCACTGAAATTGAATTAATATTGTAATCTAATTGATTTAGTACATCATTTTTTATTTTTTTACCTGAAATTTCAAATCTGTACTTGAATTTTCATAGCAATTTTTTGATCGATAATGTCCATATAACAGTTGAGCTGAAAAGTTTGTTGGCTGACAGAAAAAAAATTCATGGAATTTGATTTTAATAATCAATACAATATAGCGGTCATACAATTTTTTGATACCATTTTTATAATACGAATCATCTTTAGCCTCAAAATAGGCCTCAGTTTCGACGATTACCTCTTGATCGACGTTAAATTACTTTCCAGAAAAAGTCGCTGGGGGCCAGATCTGGAGAATACGGTGGATGCAGAAGCAATTTGAAGCCCAGTTTACGCGATTTTGCCATCATTTTTATTGATTTGTAACAAGGTGCATTGTCTTGTTGTAACAGCACTTTCTTTTTCTTCAAATGGGGCTGTTTTTCCACGATTTCGTCCTTCAAACGCTCCAATAATGCTATCCAATAGTCGCTGTTGATGGTTTTTTCCTTTTTAAAGATTTTCGATGAATATTAAACTATGCACATCCCAAAATACTGATACCATAACCTTGCCAGCTGACTGTTGCGTCTTTGCATGCGCATGGAGTCGATTCACCATGTGCATTCCACTCAGATGACGATCGTTTTGATTCTGGTGTGAAATTTTGGAGACATATGTTTCATCTATTGTCACATATCGACGCATAGATTCAGGTTTTCAATGGTGGAACAGCTTCAAATATTGTTAAAAATCATCAATTCGTTGTTGTTTCAGGTCGATTGTGAGCACCCGCGGCACCCACTTTGATTGAGGTTTAAGAAAAACCTCTGAAAGTTTTATGACCAGTTTCTTGTTCAATCTAGAGTTAATCACTAAGAAAAAAATAGCTATAATCATTTTAGAAAAAAGAGCTAACATTTTGATCACAAGAAGACTAAATTAGCCAACGTGAGTAACTTCCGTGGTCTGTAGTGTTTGGAAGAAAAGTCTTATTCGAATGAATATTGTAGGTAGGTATGTAGAAAATTGTAATATGTAATAGTTCCTGATTAACTTTTTTGAATACTTGCAATATAATTGCGTAATGTGGAAATGGAATAAGAATAAATTAACAGTGAAGTAAGAGTAAAATCCATTCTAACATAACTTACGTTCAGTAACAATTTTATACCACAGTTGAATTTAGTCAGTATGGTTAAGATTGCACCACCAAGAGCAAATAATATTACGGTAAATATGGATCGTACAACAAAGTATGTGTTAACTTGTATAGGTCTCTTAGATTCCTTCTCATACAAATATCTCTGTGTTCTTTCCATCACTGGAAGATCTGCTCCAGGGAAAGGTATTATCCAACCATCAACAAGATCAGATTTGTGAGGCAATAGTCTGAAATATACAAAATAATTCTAGATGGATAATAGATAGATATAATTTCTTATTAAACATTGTGCTTCATTCAGAAAACTAAAAATGTTTGCGTATCCATGGCAAAATGAAATCAAATAAAATATATGTGTGTCAAATTGTGCATAAGTCAAAACTGATTTCGGTTTAACAAAAATTTCTATGAACACCAGGAAAACAATACAGGAATGAAAACTTCAAGGCTCGGTATAGAGTTACCGAAACACATAATAAAGAATCCAATTGTTTTCAAAAATTATTACCTTCATGCAATACATTTATTTTCTTTACAGTCGTTTTTTGAAAAAGTGACCAGAGACTATTTTGCAATTGTTGATGTATTTTCTTAATTTAATTTTTTTCCATTTTTCCCATATGACTATTTTAATTTTCTCTCATGTTTTCGAAAGAGTTACCTTTAAGAAAATCGACAATATCGAAAATTTTTATTGAAAAATGTTTTCACTGCATATTACACGAAGTCTGTTCAACTTATAAGGTGAATGTTCAAATTTCGGGGACTACATATATTCGAATAGCGATTTTTCATTTTTTTATGTAGGTACATTCGTATCGAACAACTGTTTAGCATGGTTAGTTAGTTGGTGAGAGGTATGAAAGTTAGAACTGTTCTGCATGTTCGGTGATTTTCTGCTATCGAAAAAAAATCATCAGAGAATTTGCATCAAATTTTGTGTGAAAAGTGGAATAAGGTATTCAAATTTCATTAGTTTGGACTTCCATTGTCTGATATTATATAAAATGATTTGAAATCCCTGAAAGAACCAAAAAAGAAGAATTAAAAATGAATACAAGTAAAAATAGAACGATTGAACAAAAAATAAAAAAGTTAAGAGATTCCAAGTCAAGTTATTTCACGACGTTTCGATTGTTAGTATCCACAATCGTCTTCGGATGATGACTGGACTGATTCCTCCGAGAGATGATTACCTATTTATAAATTCCGTACCAACATATTTGGTATGGAACCAGATTGATAAGTAGGTCTATAATAAATATAAAGAGTACTAGAACACACACGAGAAAACTTTTATAAAGGAACCCTTCGAAAAGGAAACTGAAGTACTGCGTAGACCTGTATAACAGAGAAACTGACTGTAGGTAATGCAAGAAAGGTGTAGAGGCAGTTCGATATATTTTATGCAAATGTGAGGCACTGGAACATATGGAGCGAACAATTTATAGACAACCTAAATTATGACCAGGAGAATATGACAAACATCCAACAAAGGACCTTTACTAAGTACTGCAGGAAACAAGATTGCTGGAATGGAGAAATCAATTAGCCCTACAGTGTTTCTGAAGATTTGGAAGAAAAGGAGAAGGCAGGCGGCCACCAAGTAGAAGAAAAAAGACTGTATAAAGTTTTTGTGGAAGAACAAACTTCAACTTTACAATCAAAATTAAGAGAACTTAAAATGCTTACATTTCGAAAGAGCTTCAGAGGAATTGCAAAACATGAATAAATTATTCTATTGAGGATGTGTTATTGAACTAGATACCTTCTGATCTGAAAGGTCCATAGTAACTATTGCAAAACGAGTGAACCTAAAACACGGAAATATTCTAATTCATATGTATCGTAGAAATTTCAATTTCAAATCCAGAATTTTTGAAAAAGTGAACTCGTGACTGAAACTGTCACGTCTCAGGCCACTGAATGTTCCATGGTTATACGAACACAAAACTTACTTCTTCTTTAGTTGTGGGTTAAACGATGGCAATGCTTTAGGAAATAATTTTCTTCGTATGTCGTTGAGTTCATTCCATTGCGCCAAACTATGTACGGCAGAATTCCATGTCCCGACATTAATAGCTGCTCCGGAATTATTTCCTTCCTCCCATACCTCCAAGTATGTTTCCACAGAATTCAAAACACCATCAAAGTTTTGTTTGAGAAAAATAACTCCTAAATCACTTGGTATGCTGTCCAAACCACAGGCACTTATAACGTAAACCCCTGAATAGTAGAGAAATTATATTTTGGAAATGTCGAAACGAAAATTATTACCTTTTTCTTTCGCATTTTGGTGTTGCTCCAACTGCATCTTCTCCATATATTGCGGTTCCCCACTTATATCAACATGATGTGTTCCAGCAGCTATACATGCCTTTACCACGGGCTCTCCCAAAAATTGATATGGACCACAGCAATTTATAACAATTTTAGTTTTTTTGGCCATCAGCAGCAATGAATCATAACTCTTGATATCAGTTATAACCATAGGCGTATTGGACAAATCGACCCCTAAAAATATAAAATAACATTTCATCTATACTATCTAGTATATCTGTCAATAGCCCATGAATAGCGATTTCCGTAACATCTGGACTGTCTTAGACAGTTCGAGTCTCTGCATATGATTCAGAGGCCTATTAGACATCGTAGTTCATCCCTACTGTAGTCCAACAACTGATTGATTTAAACATTAGAAGGGTGAATGAATGCCTTGGAGTAAGCCAATCATGGAAGATTTTGCCAGAAGTTCTTAAATCTCCTTCCATCCGGGGGTTCAATGTTTGTTTGGCAAAACTTAAAGCGATGCCAATGACAGGTTCTGGTCCGATAAAGCTGCCTGCAGCTCCCTTCGCAAGGGAGTCAGCAGCCTTATTGCCTTCCAGGCCAGAGTGGCCAAGAATCCAGACCAGAGACACTTTGTCAAGTCTTCGTATTGTGGAGAGTCGTTGTTGGCAATTTGCTACCAATTTAGACGTTGCTCAGTAGGAGCCAAGAGCTTCCAACGCCGCTAGACTGTCCGAGGAAATTTTTATTGACTTGTGTATGAGGTTGGATTCTACCATTCTCTCCTCACACAATTCAATAGCATAGATTTTCGCTTGAAATACAGTCGCATAGGTTCCTAGGCAGGTTGATATTCCTGTCCTGGGTCTGCGAATGAAAACACCTGATATAGTAGGTAGTAGCATAACTGGTGGATATATTTTTTCTCTCTGCAACATCGTGTCATCAATATTGAATGAAGTTCTTGCCTTCATCGTTTGAGAGATTAGCTTTGAAACCTGAGAGTAGGAAAAGAAATAAGGTAGAAAATTATAGAATCGAAATGATCAGTCCTATAACTTTCATTATTTTTAAGAATCACATCTGCTGATGCTTTTTGGCAACCCTGGCCTAGATCTTTAACATTCTACAAAAACTTTTGTCGAGCACATTTGAAGAAACTTACCGATTTTCTCTCCAGTCGACTTCAGGACTTCTTGCAATTTTTCTTCAGATCGGCCTGCAACTCCCCAGGTAAGATTTCGTCCATTAGCTTTGGAAAGCTTATGAACATACGGAATACAGTGTAATCCGGTAAATCCGGTGGCACCAAGTATTAATATATCTAAACGATCTTCTGTCATATTTTACCTAAGAAATAACATAACTATTTATCTGCTTCTCGGTAATTAAGAGTATTTCACTAGAAGTTGACAATTTTCAAATGGAAATATTTTTGTTATTATATAATTATCTCATATTCGTCTGATGATATAAACAAAGTTTTTTGTAATAGTAAACAAAAAGCTTCAAATACTGATGTATATTATAACTTTTCAACTGTACTTGGCTCTTTTTTATCGAATCACGACGTAGTTTATTAAATACTAGCGACCCGCCCGGCTCCATACGGGTGCAATGCTGATACTAAATATAAGTTCACTCACTGAAAATTTAAGGGCATGGAGAAACAGTGGTGAAAAGATAATTTAGTTTTACGGACGCGTCTTTTTCACCCGCGGCTGGCGCCCCTGATGGAATATTCAAAAATCCTTTCTTACCGCACACCTATAACATAAATCGAACCTACATACAAACTTTCAGCTTCCGAAAATATGTCCGTATGAAAACAACGTAACTTCATTTTATAAACGCCCCTTTTTCCCCGCGGCTGGCTCCTCAGTTGGAATATTCAAAAATCCTTCCTTATTGCACATCTACAACATAAAATGAACCTTCACACAAAATTTCAGCTTCCGAAAATATGCCGGTATGAAGAAACAATGATGAAAACGTAACTTAATTTCATGAACGCGCCTTTTTTCCCCGTAGCTGGCTCCTCAATTGGAATATTCAAAAATCCTTTCTTATTGCACATCTACAACATAAAACAAACCTACATAGAAAATTTCAGCTTCCGAAAATATGCCGGTATGGAGAAACAATAATGAAAACGTAACTTCATTTTATAAACGCCCCTTTTTTCCCTGCGGCTGGAACTCCAGTTGGAATATTCAAAAATACTGTCTTATTGCACATCTACAACATAAAACGAACCTACATAGAAAATGTCAGCTTCCGAAAACATAGCGGTAGGGAGAAATAGTGATGAAAAGGTAATTTAAATGTGTAAACACGCTCGTTTTACCCCCACGGTAGGGGGCCAAGTTTGAATATTTGAAAATATTTTCTTAATGCGCATCTAAGACCTTAGAAGCGCCTAATATATACCAAATTTTAGCTTCCTAGTACTTACCAGTAAGGAGAAACAGAGATAAATGAGTATAAGTATGTATATACAGATAGATGGTTCTGGATCCTACATAAAAGGATCCTGATAGCACAAAACGTTTATTAAAGATGTAATGCTACGGCGTTGTACATTTCACAAAACCAACAAAATATGCGAATACATTTTTGAGTATTTTGAACAATAAGATCTTCGGAGAAAAAACGTAAGGGCACTTTTTGAGTTTTTACAAATATCTTGTGAACCCTTTGAAATATTTTGGGTTTCTTCATACCGTCTAATTGCCGGTTGATGAAGGCAACTTTTTTTTCGTTTAACAGACATTCCAATTTAATGAGATCTTTGAGTTTATTGAAATTTCTGTTCCTATTTTTCAATAATTTCTCCACAAAATATCTGATGGACAAAAATATACTGTTGAAAAACCATGTTAATGAAATCACCAAATACGATAATGTAAATACTTGTACAAAGTTCAAACTATTTACATAACTATGGTAATTATCAGTTTAGTATGCAGCATTCATAATAGGTGATAAACGATTCTAACCTGTTTGTTTCCAGAATAACAATAATATTCCAAAAATCTCGGACTGACACCGTCTATAAACTTTTCTTCTTCCACAAGAAATAGTTTCTCACAAACAAATTTCAAATAAAAGTAACTATTATTCGTCATTTGCGATGGTTGATGAAGTTCTCTCAAGGTTGACAAGTCAACTTTATATTTTATTGAAATAAACCAAAGTCGAGTATTAATAGGTGGAAATGAATAATTCCTCGGAGTTGTTTTCAATGTAATTAATTTGGATGAAATTGATATGTTCAAGTCCTTGACCTTGTAGCGTGTTACCTCATATTCAGAAAATATTTCCTCGGCCGATAGAGAACCTATTTTATACTTTTTGTGTTATTTTCTGATTTATATTATCAAAATATGAAAGGATGAAAGCAGTCTCAAAAATAAACCTTGTACAGAGTCCAATCAATTTATAACAGTTCTTTCATTAATGTTAGGTTGTTTCAAATGTTTTGCCCGTTTTATCGGTCTACTTTAAACGGTTATATCTCAGTGAATACTCAATTTAATCGAAATAAGAGCCGTTTGAGTCGGTGCACTTTTGCAAGGTTCTACCGGTAAGAAAGTTATCGGAATGTTTGAAAATATGGTAGTCGGTTAGCGAGAGGTCTGGGGAGTATGGTGGATGAGGTAGAACTTTGTCGCCCAATTCGTTGAATTTTCGGACGTTGATTTATGAAACGTGCGGATGGGCGTTGTTGTGGAGCAGGATCGGACCTCTTCTGTGTACCAGTGCTGGCTGATGCAGAGACAATTTTCGGAAGATTTCGTCTATTTCCTCACAATAGAACTCCACTGTAATGATTTGGCCAGCTGCAGAAAGTTATAGTGAATCACACCAACCGCTGACCACCACACTGTAACTATGGTCTTACGTTTTTTGATGGGTCATTCCCACTAGGGTCTTCAAATCCTCATTCTGGAAAACTGTAGGCCGGTCTCTTCGGAACGAAATTTAATAAGCCGACGTTGAAAAGTGTACTTGTGATGCACTGTTTGGAACCTTTGGTGTAGTAATGAATATTACTTGAGTTTTTTCCCAACACCAAACCGTTATTTTAACACATCGACACGTGTTTCGATCTCCAAGTGATCATCTTCAAGAGGAAGATCTTGAAAATGAAAAGACTCCAGTAATATTCATGTTGGAAAGTGTGTTCATTGATACTGTTAAGTTTTTTCCCTTGGGTTGACCAATAATTGACTACACTGAATAATCAGACCTAACTTTATTTCACTTTAAAAACAACAAACACTAAAAATTCAACTATTATTTGAATGTCTATCGCCTTACTAGATCACTTCGCATACCGCACTGTAACGTCCACTTAGCTGTCTGAATGTCTATCGCCTTACTTGATCACTTCGCATACCGCACCGTTTCTTTCACTTGACTGTCTCGATATGCCCGCCGCTCGCGTTTAAATATCGTAATCGAACATCGTAGAAATTTCGCCAAAGTTCTGT